GAGAGTTTACTAAGAGGTCAGTATGCATCTTAAAGCAAAAATATCTAATTTAAACAATTAATTAATATCATTTAAGCGAATGTCTTATATTTAAAGCTTGCACTAGTACTGCTAGAAGAAATCCTGGGCAATTGCAAAACATGTTGGAGAGAACCCCATCTATTTAATTTGAATGGGGTTTGGCAAGAGATCAACGGATTAGCAATTATAAACTAAAATCCGTAGTTTTATGAAGAAAGAAGGAGTGCAAACTTAAGTGAGTTAGTGACTGTTTTATACTCCTCAGAATGAAATAACCTTCATTTACCCTATCGGGAGAATGTGGGAACAAAAAGGATATATGAACGAAGGAATAAAACAATTTTAAAGGAAAATGGTAGGAAACGCGAAAAAAGAGAAATGGAGGGAAAATACCAGTATACTTGCACTTACTGAATTGAAGAGAACGCATTGTGGAGCAGTACAGTTGGGCTTGCTGAGCCGATATTTTATTGAGACCCAGCTCTTTGGTATATGGTTGTGGTGTCAATTCACTTGCCAGTTTTGATATTCCCTCTTCCTCCTGGCCCTCATTCTTTATCTTAGCTGCCAACTTTTCTCTATCCTCCAGATCTTGTTTTGTTCCGGTATCAGTTTTACAGTGAACACCTTCATTCACTCTATTCTCGGGTTCACCTTGAATATCCTCTGCAGCCGAATTTAGTTGCCGTCGTCGCTTAAGCCGCCAGTCGCGCTGAGCAGCCAAATAATCCTTTGCAGCCATTTCAGCCAAACGCGCCACTTCAGCCAAATCTGGCAACAAGTGAGTAAGCTCCTCTTCAGCAAGATCAGAGACAGTGGCTGACACAGCTACTTCTGGAGCACTTAACTTTATCAACATTTTATCCTTTAGATGATTATCCCGTTTTTCTTTTTTTTGCTTCGGTGTCTGTTTGGTAGACGAGGGCTTGTGTTTGTGGTTTCTATAAAAACGCCGCTTGGTACACTGGAACTCATTAGCTAAATCTTGATTGATAAATGATACTAAATTTAATTGGCCCGGATCAATCTCGATAATTGATCCCCAAAGGTCAACTTTTGAGGTTTCTTGAGTGTTTGAGTGTGAATCATTACAGGTTAATTCACTTTCAGAAGTCATGGCTTTATCAGTTTTCTTAGATGACTGCG